ACCAAGATGCTGCTTTTTGGTGCTTTTAGAAATGTGATTAAATTCGAACCAAGATTTCAGCATTGACTGAAAGTGGGCGACAGTTTTAGGAACTTGGGTCTCCACCTTGACGAGGCATTGCGGCTTAAGAGGCAGGTTAGCGGTATAGTTCAAAGATCTCAGAAGAGAGGTGTGGGGTGCAAACTGATTGTTAGGATCGCCCGAATATTTGTATTCAAAACTTGTAAGAGGTAGGTAGGTAGTGATATTCATGACCGTTTAACCCGTCACAAAACCGGTATATATAGTGCTTAAGCACAATTTTTCTCAGTTTGAGGGATCATGTTCTTACTTGAAGCCGAGGAGTTAAAACGAATTACCTGAAAACATTAAATCCTTCACACGCATTGCGGCATTCAGAGAACATGTCAAACAAATTATTAGTAGCTAAAAGAAGATAATAGGCATATTTTTGAATGTATGTATTTTCTTTTTTTTTTTTCAGATGTCACTTTAAGTTCGATTTATTATTGAAAAATCTTGTAATTTGATTATGTCGATTTTTTTCCCTCATCTGACTGTAGCCATGGTACTTTGTTGTTTTTATAGATTTATTATTGATTTAATTGTAGTTATAAGGTGCTTATTTTTTGAGGTGGTTGCGTATTTGAGCACGAAAGTGGACGCCATTTATATACCTAAAAGCTTTTTCAATTACAAAGTAGGCATTGTCAAATCGTTTCAAAACATTAAATAACAAAATAACAACACAAGCAATGTTTAGATATTAGATGTAAGAGAAATAAATCGATTTTCTGGAAGAAGTTTCTTCTAAAAAATAAAACCAAATAAAAAAAAATACTATGCTTTCATAATACACAGTACAATTACAATTTTTTTGAAAGGAATAAATCTATAAAACAAATTAGAAAAAAGGAACAATGCACAAATACACACATGACAAAATTAAAACAAAAATAAAAACTTAACAAAAAGTAACATAGGCAGAAAAACTTTTAAAAAAAATTGCTCACTCATTCATAAAACAAAAAGAGTCATCATAGCTAAAATCAGTCATAGATAAAAGAAAAAGAGTAAAACAAAAAATATACAAATCTTAACACTTTCGTAAATCACAGTAGAGTTCTTTGTAAGAGCAAGTTTGGGTATAAGGAAAGGTGAAGGCAAGTTGTTTTGTCTTAAATTATAGTGTGATTCTCTTTCAAAGCTATCTTGATTATTATTATTATTATTATTATTACTATTATCATCATCTGGGGTGGGACTCAAAATAAATCTGACGAATACGAAAATAATACGCCTAACGCAAATAGAGGTAGGTACCTAGTAAGTTGAAACTGAAAATCAAAAAATAGAAAGGAACTGAAATTCTATATCTCGGACCTAAAATACAAATCGGAAAAGAAAACCAAACGGTTTCTAGAAGAGTAGAGTAGATCTCAGTGACAGTAGCCTTTGGCAAACTCAGATTCTTAAGCGCTGGTGCTGGCTTGTGTTGATAAAATAAACTTTGTGGTAATTCTATGTTGGTTTTTTGTTTTTTTTTTATCCATCAATAGACAGCTTCAGTCAACAGCTAAGTAACTGATCCAAGATGGAGGGTATAAAAGAAAATAAACTGTGTGAAGTCCAATCTCATTGTTACCAACGCTTTCAAATATCATTAAAAATCTTGTAAAGAAGAGAATGACAACCTTTATGTCTAATCACAATATCCTGACTGGGTGTCAGTTTGGATTTCAAGCCTCTAAAGGTACTAGTGATGCAGTCTTTAAGCTTTTAAAGAATGTGAATGTTGGGCTAAATGAGGAAAGTATGGCTGCATCGGTTTTCTGTGATTTTTCTACAACATTTGATTGCGTAAATCAATACTGCTGGAGAAAATGTATCAGTATGACTTAAGGGGAGTGACATATGACTGGTTTTATTAGTCAGGTAGAAAGCAAATTTTAAATTCTAGGAATGGCAACTCAGATGAACTGACAATGCGACATGACGTTCCTCAGGGTTTGGTTCTTGCCCCAAGTATTTTTTTATTTGTGCTTGAATGGCCTAGATATTTAGGACTGTTTAACCATTTCTGCAAACGATACCACCATCTTTTGGCTTGATGAAGAGGCTAGTTTACTGGAAGATATTATAATTGCAGACCTATGACGTGTGGAGGAGAGGTGTGACACAAATTTACTTTGTTTTAATTTAAATAAAACTTGTGCTATTTCTTTTGGATGATCTGAATGTGGACAGTTATTTCGTAGCAAATAAGGACAGCTATAGGTTTCTGGGCTTGGACCTTGATTCGGATTTCAAATTTAAAGAGCATATACTGTGAAAAAACAAGATTGGCATCTGGGTTGATATGATGTTTGTATTGTTACAAGGCAGTTGGGACCATCCACAGGTGAGTCGGTACATTATCGATCGATGTCACTTGTGGAATCCCATTTCAGATACGGGATTGCTTTTTGGGGTTTTGGTAGCAAAAAACCTTTTCATACTGTGTTTATCCTACAGAAGAGGGCTTTTAGGTTCTTATGCAAACTGAAGGCCATAAACGATACCTTTGTAGGCCATTGTTTGTTTAGGAGGGACTCCTAACGCTGGATTCCCACGGCCCGTGATATCACAAGCGGGACCGCGCCAGCACGCGCTAACGCTCCACGGGAATGGTGCTTCTGGAGCTAGCCCGTGATGATCCGTGATGGTCCGACTGATCCGTCGAAAGTCGGTAGGATCGAAGGCGCGATCCGACGCGGCAAGTGCGGGCACGCGTATGCCTGTGACGGCGCGGCCCGGCTTGCGATATCACGGGCCGTGGGAAGCTAGCTTAACATTGCCATGCCTTTTTATTTTTGAGACTGGCTCAAGGTGCACAAAAAATGTAAAAATTTTATAAATCCCAACATCCACAACACAGGTAATGGACATAAATTCAGGGCCGATCCTAGGGTATCGGCTGCCCGCGTGCAAAGAGCAATTGCGCCGCCCCATAGAGATATAGCAGCCTTACGTAGGTGCCGATGGTGGTAGCCGGAGGCAGAATTTTTTTTTGGGTGCCACGCCCAAAAGCGTTCATTTCAAGCCTCAAAATGAACGTTTTTGTGCGTTTAAAGTTGAAAAAAAACTTGTTTTGAACATATTTGTTTTCTATGAGTTGTTTGAATACGAGTGAGTGGTGATCAATAATGACAAACACTATCCTAAAACTAAGTAGGGCCTGGGCTTGGGTCTGGGTACGGAAGTGAAAAATAGGCCCCTGTGGAAAATCAAGACACTCCAGTCCCTAGTCGTAATACTGACCTACATAACATACCCACCTGCACTTGGAAGTCTTTGGTATAGTTTTTCCAAAGTTAATTGGATCAAAGTGAACATAAATTATAACTGGTCGCTGACTAGTGGCAGTACATTTCTTATGGAAATTTTCAGTGACTAGTCAGCCACTAGTTGGTATCTTGTTCCAATTGAGTTTGAAAATACTATATCGAAAAAGTTGGTAATATTGTTAGCATTAGTAGTCATCTAGTTGGACGGTTGGTTAGTAATTATTCTTGCAGAATTAGATGAATTGGGAACAAAAATAAACATTTTGAAAAAACAAAGCAGAAGAATTTAGGAAATATAAAAAAATTATGCAATCTTATGATGGATGTGTGAAGAGTTACAACATTATGCGTGAGCCTACACATTGACTGTGCACTAAACTTTCTATTCATGCTATCAGGAGATCGGGGTTTATTTTAATTTTTCACGAGTTTTTTTAAAGTTCAGCTTATTTTTTTATTAGAAGTTGTTTTATTTTGAGAAATTCGTAAAAAGTTTTACTTCAATCTTGAATGACAGAATTATAGGCCGGCCACCCCTAGATTTAGCCGCCCGCGTGCGGGGCACGCGCTGCACACCTGCTAGGATCGGCCCTGCATAAATTTATCATTGTCTATACCCAGGAGCAGAGCTACCAAATGTTTCTCAATGCATGAAAGTTTGAAGATATAGAATCATTTGCCAGATGAGTGGAAAGCTCTTAATGATCTCCAGAGTTTTGTAAAATGCAAGGTAAAATGCGTAGTCCGTTTAAATGTTAAAGGCCTACTGTTCACAAGATTTTCATGAGGTATGTTTTTTAGTCTTTCCTCTAATATGCTTCAATTACTTTGGAAGAGATTTTGAATTGTACCTATTGCTTATTTATTTTTAGAATTCAAGGTTCAATGCTTCGATGGTTCAATGTATATTTTTTAAGCTATATATGCCAATGAGTTATTCTTTGGACAATAAGGCGTTTTCTGATTTCTGAAATCGTAAGGAAACTGAAACGTCGTTTTGATGTGTGTAGACCTGAAATCAACACAAATAGTTTTTTCAAGAATGTCCTTAGAGATTATAACAAAATATTGTAAATTGAGACAGTTATATAGAGCGTGTTAGTTAAAAAATTTTGTTTTTTTTTACATAAAATAGTAACAAATATAATTGCTTAAAACTTTTCCCAATAAACTGTTTCTGCTGAATTAATCCTACTCACTGTGATTTGGTGAAAAATATGCAAGAATTCTTGAACCAGGTTGGAAAAAATGTTTTATTGTCTAAGCGATACCTATTGTGGGTATTTCGTTAGGATTTTGTACCTCTGTGAATTGTTTTGAATTTGAATTTGATGTTTCTACCTATTATTGGAGTGGAGCCAGTGGAGAATAGCAAAACTGGTTAAAAATACCTATAGACATTCAAAAAATGTGCGAAAATTAAAATCTAACAAAATTTTTTTTGACGCCTTCCCATACCTCACGTTTCGAATCTAAAAAAAATCTTCAAGGCCGTTTTATCATTGGATTGACTAACAGCCTGACTTGTATTAATCATTAATTTATTAGTTTAATTGAAATACGGTTCTTTGTTAATATTATGCTTTCGAACCTGAGAACGTTTTCTTTTATCTCGGTTTTATATGATCGGCAGCATTACGCAACCACTAGACAAATTAGAAAAAAAAAACTTACCTGATCAGTGTACAGCAGAAAATTAATCGTTGTCGACAAACTAAATTTTGGGTAGATATCCTGATTTCTGAAACGTGCGTGTATGTGTGTTTGTATTTTATTAGAATTGATAACCCATCGCTAATAATGCACTTAAGTACCTACACTGAAAGCCGCACGATATACTAAAACAATTAAATGTTCCCATAAAGGGAGGCGGGAATCGATGTTTGCTCAGGGGGTGGTAAAACGCAACGATTTAAGTGAAATTCAAGATGCGCTAGCTTTAAAAGCTCCGACAATTCTAGGAATGAAAACGCATTGGTTGGACGTTCAACCCGATGGGGACCCGTTTCGTTTTCAGATTAGAATAGCCGCATCATCCGCAACTTGAACCACTATCAACTAACGCGACGACAATGCGATCTGCCATACCAGATTGGCAGATGGCAGTTAAATCTAAAGAGAAACACAAAACACAAAAGCGTTTGCGCGTCGATTGGTTTGCGTTTGCGTTTGTCGTTGATGTGGGGTCGTAGCTTGAGAAAGAGAGTGAATTTAGAAAAAAGACGGGAGGGCTACGGCCAGCCGGAGCCGAGTTTAATCACATAGCCTTTTCGAATACGCTGATCCGAATAACCCGATCGCCAGCTGTGTGTTTTTTATCTTTCTTTAATGAACACTTTTGAAAAAAGACAAAGTACAGCAGCTTGTGATAGATCTGCGTTTCCGAGACGGCCTCATGGAGCATGTGCCTACGAGCCATGTAGGTAGGTAGGTAAGATCCAAGTAAGATCACATGCTCATATCTTGGTTGGAAAAAAATATCTATTTATTTTATTTATTTATTTATTCAAAGCATCAACAGCAGGGCCAATTCATCATATTAGTTAGGTTAGAATCGCAAATTGGCGCGGGTTCCTAGTTCAAAAATTAATACATTGATGTCTTATGGGGACTCAACTTTAAAAGCGTCTGTAGACGTGATAGAACGTTTGTTACGGAATTGAGTTGTATAAATAGTTTTTTTAATATGTTAATTAACTGAGAGAGTGTTAGAAAGTTGAATAAACATTGTTAAAATAAAAATATTACCAATTTAAGAAGCCGATACTTGTATAAAATACGTATGTCGTTGCTTGATCCATAAGTATATATGAGTACCTAATTATAATAAAATAAAAGGTTACCTACATACTTGGTTAGTAAATGTACTTCAATAATCCAAAAAAATTGAAAAATAAATGACTGAACTAGTGATAAATAAATAAATAAACAATTCACCAACAATCATAACACAACACACAACCTCACTTTCTCTCAGCTGGTTTTAGACCCGACGTACGTCCACCGAAAACAGACACTTTTAAATAAAATCATTTGTATTTTTAATTCATAGGTCTAAAAAAACAATTAGAGCATGAATTATAGAGAAATATGTTCAAAGTTTGATGTACAATAGGTTCCAATACTAAGAAATGCCCAGAACCCAAGATATTCCCGTCTGAAAATCACTCTTTTGAATCCCCCATAAGAAATACATTGCTGTCAAATTTGTTGAAATGTGTTTAGGAACCCATTTTAAATTTCGCGCCCGATTTTTCCTAACCTAACTAATATGGTCAATTATTACAGATACTAGAGAGATATCGGTAACCCCAAGCCGCATTCTTTCGGACCGGATCAGTTGATCAAAACGCGTTATGTTCCAGTGATCACGTTCTTTCGCATTTTGGCAAATGACAGTTAACGAATCATGATCCGAGAAAGTCTGAACATATTGAACATTTTTTGTTTGTGATTAGTTTGTTCCGATCGCGAAAATCTAACCTCAACTTTCAAATTATTTCTTGTTTACTTTTTGCGCTTTCTGCAATAATATATAATATAAATTTTGTGAGCTCGTCCATTATTATAAGCACAGAAAAACAAACGTAGCAAATCAAAAAACTGCAAAATATAATAATAACCAACTCAAAAAATAGAGAATAGAGGAAAAGCACCAGCTGGCAGTGACACATTTTTTCGGACTAATAAATGACATGTTCCATCTGAACGAACGGATCAGGATCTCGGAATCATGATTCAAATATTTTGCGAAAGAATGCGGCTCCAAATAGTGTCATGCAGTATTAGCGCCTACGTTATTTTGACATTAAACCTATGCGCGATTCGATTTTTAACACTACGTACCAAAATAACGTTACCGCATAACGTAATTTACCCAGCATTTACGTTAAGCGCTATTTCGAATAACGCCTAGAAATAACGCAGTGGAATAATATAGGTTATGTTAGGTTTATTGTTTTTGTTTATTTTATTATTTTTGTTGTGTTCAAGTGAATAGGGATTGTTCAAAAAATAGTAAAAAAGCATTTCCTCTGTCCCTGACCATAAACAACAGACAACACAAATCAAATCACAACAAGGTACAAGTTAGGACAAGAGCTTGGTGCTAGCCCCAAAACAATTCTAAAGATTAAGGCAAGGAGTGCTGCGTTGCCAAATTGACGTCAAAGTATATTATTTTGTTTGGGTTAGATTTTCCTAACATGTGCGGACAATGTTTATTGTTTAACGAGTGATTCAATCAGCAGTTTTTAAAATATGTAGGTAATGTTTTCAAGTTACAGAAAATGATTTTTGACGAGAATTATTTATTTTTCAATTGTCAGAAAGAAACTTTTTGCAGATGCTAGTTTGTTTGTGCAATGAAAGAGTGAGGCGTTTTCTCGCGTCCACTTTTTTGAAACTGGTTCAAAACTGTTTTCAAACAGTACATTCTCGCGATAAACCTATGACGTCACGTCAAATTTGGTTCAAACCGTTTCGAAATATAATCCAATCCACATTTTCAAACCATTTTCTCACGCCGAGAAATTATGACGTAATGGTGAAATTACTTAAACCAGTTTTGAAAAATGTTTTGAAACATTTGAGACGCGAGAAAACGCCTCTGAATTTTGTTGGAATTTTCGACATTTTTATACAACAATCTAAACAGGATTGCTCTTTCTAATAAGGCGTAAGTTCACCAATTCTTGAGCAGGCAGGGTCTGCGAGTGACGTCGCCACAGATGCTTATAGTGTTGGCGTCACCCGCAGACCTCGATCGAAGGCTTGCGATTCAGGCTGTGCTCGTTATTTGATTTTTTCGTCGATTTTAAATGTTTTAAATATAGAAAAGGTTATTGCAACAAGATTTTAACGTTTAGGAATTTCACTCCAAAAGTTGAGGTATGCAGCTGACATAGCAGTGTAGAGACTTTTAGCTCAATAAGCAGTCCTACTAGGGATTGAAAACAGGATAATCTCTGCCATTTTCTAGAGACCTGAAACTAAGATGATCCGTTTTTTTCCTACGAATGTGCGGAAAAAAAACTTTTGGCATGCACAGAGTAATCTTTCCGCACACCCTTGAGAAAAATTGTGTTACTTAAGCCTAGTACTCATAACCGCGAAATTCGCTCTTTTTTGACATTGCTTCGACAATTTGACGTTTGATTCACGCATAGAACGTCAAATTGTCGAAGGAATGTTAAAAAAGAGCGAATTTCGCTGTTATGAGTCCTAGGCTTAACACTTGCAAGAAAAGAGTCCCTTTCCAGTACGGGAGTGTGACACTCGGAGCTACCCGGAGCGTTGAGCTCCTGAGCTATACGTACGGACAAACGTCATGCATCATGATACTGGAACGGTACAAATCTAGTGCGTGGCGCTCCCGGAGTGCTGTAGAGCGCGCCAATGTGCATACTGGAAAGCGGCTATGGTATTTCCCGCACTTGGAAAAATAAATATTTTTTTCCGAATTTGATTTGAAAAAATTTTCCGCCCTGTAGAGGAGAACAAACGAGTTTCCAATTCCACTCCAACCAAAAGGCAGCTGCCTGCACTAGTGCTTCAAAATACAAAATTTGTAGTTTCAATTTTCAATCCATTCAATCATAAGCAGTATAATCAAATTATGAAAGATTATTATATTTTGTGTCCACTCAAAACACTGAAGGCCAGGATAATAATAATAAACAACTGTGGAGGCGTGGCGTGACGCTGATTCCAGTCCAAACATGAAAATGCCAAAAATGGCAACGTCGCAGATAAATTGTTTTGGGGTTACCACCAAGCTCTTGTGAAGTTAGGCTACGGTTATAAAATAACGGATGCAAACAGGCAAATTTCACGTTAAACTGTTTTCCGATAACTCTAATTTGAAAGTATGATACCGCTTTACTTTGAAAAAATAACTCCTGACGTTATTACCATCCATACGCGCTATCTGATTCACCGATATCTCTCTACTGACTTAATATTAATAGTACAAAAATACACGATACACGTAACGTAAGTACCTAGGTAGGTACATTAAAACCGTACAAACCTTCTCTAAAGTAAACTAATCACAACAAAGGAAATAATACAAAATACAGTTTTCTGTCAATTATCATTTTAAATGCTTGGCGAATAGTATCTGTATCTGTATCTATATCTGACGCGTATAAAGGTTGAATAAGTAGATGACACAAATTATAGATCGGAAAACACCAATATAGATTGGTTTTAGGCTAAGCCAAGCCAAATAAAAATTGATTCTACTCTTCGAATTTATTCGGTTAACTAACAGCAAAAGGTAGCTGATGCAAAATACCTGGACAATCAATCAATATTATTGTTCAAAACCCCACACAAATAATGCGCATACAAATATTTTTATTCGCCTTTTCTTGAGTGAAAGTCTATTAAAAACACTCAACAAAGAGTCATTACTACAGCCACGCTGGGGATACTTACCTCCAAACTTTCTGTACTGTAATACATACATTTCAAGAATCTTCGTTAAACACTTTCCATATAATTTTATACATCAATTATGGTATTGGGATGACCATATTACACGACCATATTCTGAGATGGGTCATCATAGGCGATCACTCGATAACGAGTGAGTATGATTCTCGATTCTCTTCTATTCTATTCTCATTGTCGCTAATTTTGCGTTATCTGATGGCTAGATAAACCAATTCTGTCTGGAGCCACAGTATTGGCACACCCAGTCTCTGGCAGGCATTGTCTCTTCCTCTTTTCGGTCGCTTCTTCCTGTGGTCGCTCTTTTCGGTCTCGTGTCTGCGTCGCCGTTCTTCAAAAGTTTGTGGTCCGTCGTGGACTATTTGCTGGTATCGATGCGGCACTTTACCATATGTTCCTTTAGAATATCTTTGTAGATTTGATTTCGTTTTCGTTCTGTCAGTTGACTGTAGAGAATCTATCGTGGAAGACGTGTTTCCTCCTCTAAAACACTAATGTTCGTTTGTCGGTCTTGTCATTTAATCCGTAGGATTCTTCTTAGGCATCACTGCTGGTATTTTTCTAAACTTTTTATGTGTCTTCTGTAGGTGGTCCATGTTTCGCAGCCGCAGCCATATGTAAGTGTTGGTATTACACCTGCACTGTAGACGTGAAGTTCGTCTCAGCGCTGATGGATATTGTTGAAGATTCTCTCTAGAAGTCGCCCGAACGCCGCCCTAGCACACTTCAAGCGATTTTGGATTTCAGCGTCAATGGTTGCATTCGCTGACAAAGAATGGTAATTTATAGTTATATTTGGGGCTTGGGGATTAGTATCCGTTGCAGATTGGTGCAGAATCTGCGTCTTGTTAAAGTTGACCTCTAGGCCGATTCTCCTATATGCCTGGTTGAATGCATTGATAATTGCCTGAAGATCTTCCGCTGTATTGGATATTACGACGATATCATCCGTATATTGAAATTCAATTATCGATGTCGTCGATATTTTTGTTTTGGCTCGTAATCTGTTTAGGTTTAATCGGCCGCTATCAAGTCTGTACAGACTTTCCACTCCTGACGGCAAATGACTCTCAAGAAGGATGGATCCTATAAATAGAGAAAATAAAGTGGGTGCAATGGCACAGGCCTGTTTAACGCCTGTAGTTATTTGGAAAGACTCTTCTTCTCCACGGTTGCATTCATATTACCATGCAGCAGGCGGAGTATCTGCATGGATGTACTTTTGCGGAAACCCAACCCTTACCAATATCTTCCAAGCCTTGAAGCTCCCAAGTTCAACTTTTCTGATCATGACTAGAATGAAAAGGAGCAAAATTTCGTACTATCTTCTAAGAATATACCGTTTTCGAGACTGGTTTTAATGTGGGTCTCACAGTCTCACAAGTGGACAAATGAATATTTTAATAAATTTCTAAATGTTCGATGAAACGAACATCTCTTGTCCAAACGTTTTATCCACTACTCAGGATGCAAAACTTACAGAAATGCGTTTCATGTTTCATTTACTGCAAGTTCCTAGAAAGGACAGAGCAGGCCAAAACTCCTTATAAAATTTCAGACTTCTATTTTGTCATGAACGCTGAAAAGGTACCTTGTTATACCCGACTTTCTCGTTTCGCATGTCGCGCTACAGGGGACATTAGATAGTGGTGGGTTAGTGGAAATGGTGGCGACTTCGGAATCAATAGGATGTTGAACAATATGCGACGTCTTCGAAGAAAGGGCCCAAGCCCAAGACACAATCTTGAGATAAAAGATTGCAGTTTTTGTCGGGTTTTCCTCTAGAAGATAATTGCAACGGACATTGCAGGTCCTCCACCTACAAAAGCATTTTTTTTTAATTTGACCTTATCAAAAAAACAAGTCAATATTTTCATGGTCCTATTATTTCTTGACTCTGTGACGAATGTCAATGCATTGTTATAAATAATTATATTATATAATTATTTGATTTTTAAAATTAGTAGCAAAATGACCACTACTTGACTTTGAGCCAATCTCAGGTAGTGTATTCCTACAGTCCTACAGGTGAACTTATGGGTAGATCAAAATGTGTAGTGAACTGATTATCAAGATGAACAAGGCCAATAGAAGTAAATTTTGTTTTTAGAAAACTGCGAATTGGAGGAGAAATAATTTATTTTATGGTTCAGCTGCACTGGGCAAATAAAGTTTAGCTTCTGGATTAGCATTGCCACTCATACCTCTAACACGTTCAAAAAAAGGATTCAGGCGAATTAAAACTAAACACCAGGCAAAATGGCATAACCAGAAACTGAACCAGCATATAGGTATGTACCTTTTGGTAGCTATTAGGTACCTACAGCTAACATAAGCCACTAGTCAAAGAGTCCGTTCAGTCGCCTGAAATATCCTTGCCAAGTTAAGTACCTACCTATACAAAAACTTGTTGGGGTATTCGGACAACAAACTTGGAATAATATAGTGCGTTTTTATAAATTATTTTCGTTGGAAACAAAAATCTGTTACAAGGGTAAGATAATTTATTCTCGTACCTATCTGGTGATATTATATAATAGTTGAAGTTTTTTTCGGGTGAATTTATGCTATGGATCGAACCTCAGCTACTACCGTTACTAATGTTTTGGAACCAATTACTTCCACATCAGGCGTTATATCTACTTATTTATTTTTTCAAGATTTTGACTAGCTGCCATTTTGCTGGGGATAGTGACAGGTAACAGCTTCTTGAAACCACCATGGAGAATAAAAAGACCTTCAAAATGAGAATCTTCTGCAATTTATAATTTATTTTCGCGACGGTGGTTACCCCGACTCCTGGAGGGACTTTCATCAAAACTAATCCGAAGTTCCCTAATTTATTTACCTCTTTTATTTATAACTTTTTTGTAAGTAAAGTATACTAAGTATAGTATCAGTGAACGTGAATAAATTGAATTTATATTATATTATCTAGTAGAGTCTACATTAATAACTCTATAAACAATTATGAAACGCAACTGCCTTTCTTATACTTCTATTTGTCCACAGTCTACTCAGAAAGTATGAATCCAATTTTTCTAATTCCATTATGACTTTTTCGGATCACAAGTTTTTTTCGAATTTGGTTTTTGACTACATAATCATGGGTCTAAAATATGTAGATAGACACCCATTCCTATTTATTGGCGGCGGATACAAATTTAACCTATGTATTTGAGAAGAATTTACTCAATTACCTATATTATGTAACACTTTTATTTATCTTACTCTGACTGCTCGAAAAATATCTTTTAAATCAGACATCTCGGATCGAGATATCTTATAGAAGCCCCAGTATCAGCTTCATTTTGCATAAAAATTAGTAGATCTAGATCTGATATTTTTTAAGCTCATGTTGAAGCAGATGATATTTCTGATTTTAACTTTTTTTTTCCAACCATGTTTGAAGAAACGTATGCCACCAGTATGGTCACACTTTGGTGTGTGACCAATTTCCTGATTCTTCAATGATTTTCACACCTGTATGAATAAATAAAAAAGCAAATTAACTTAGACAGTCGAAATGCTGTCACTTTATTTAAATAAATATATTTTGTTTACAAAACAGATGGAAATTTACAATGTGCAGAATGTTTTTATTTTGTTTCTTTTGTTTTATTTCACATTTCAAGACCAGCACAAACCGCGATATAAACATAGGTATATAAACACGCATCTACTAACATACTAAATATAATTAAACAATACGAAAATCCCCAGATCCCAGCTGATTTTTTATTGTCTTTTTTATACATAATAATATTAAAAGCAAATGATAAACTAATAGAAGATGAATATTAGTCAACAGTCAGATAGTTTGAAAGGGCTACTTCCCTTTCTCCAATCTACTACTTTAAAAAAATAACGATAATTAAATCATCACCTGTTTGGGCTGGTCTGTTTCCTAATAATTTAAATCAACCTAACGATAGATCATAACAAATAAATTGGTTTAAACTTAATACATATGTACAATTGCTGGTAAAATTAAAGCATTTAGATTCTAGCGCACCATCACAGGTCATTAAAAAAAAAGTTTAAGGATGAAGGAGTCAATAATAACACTAGAAACTAGAAGAAGAATATTCTCTCCTTGAAGTATTAAGTAGGCGATTTCAGCTAGATTGCTTTAGAAAACTAAAATGGTACTCCTAGTGTTAGGTGATAAAAGCTTCTTCTTATACAGAAAAAAAAAGGAAAGAAAAAAAGCGTAGAGCCGGGATGCTTGAAGAATGATTTACCATCTATCTACAACAACTTCACCAACTGAAAAATATAAATAGCAATTAAATTATTGTAAAGATCATGATAGCAAAGTTCAGAGAGACAAGATTGGCATCGGGTGGAAGTTTTTTCTATATATACTACATACACTATATTCATTTTAAATGGAAGGAATTCAATCAGGACTATAAAATCTTGGTGTTGTAAAAAATTGTAAGGGCACCTGAGGAAACGAATTAGTTTGTTAAATGATGTGCTAAGTAATGGGAATCTTTGGATATTTCCATATTTCAGATATAAAAGAAATTGAGGAACGCTTTAAAGGGCAATTTAATGAATGCTGTATTAAAAGATATGTTCCATGCACTTTGGTCTCTTTTTAAAAGTATTTTTGTAACAACAAATAATTCCGATTGAATTAATAATTATTGTGAGAGAGGCTTTGACATTGCACCACCCATTAGCACAGTTTCAATTTAAAACGATGATAGAGTATGAGCGATTTATGTTAGTAATTCCAATTTCCTGACGTTAATTTAAGGATTAGTGTAACATATCAGGAAGAAGTAGTAGATAAATTAATAGGATAGTGGCGTTGTTCAAATCCTGGGATCTGGATAGGGTCACTTCACGCGATACGACTCAAAGCGGTCCTTATGGCGAGTCGGATGATATCGTTCACACTCGATGTACCTTCTGTGGTACTGTAAAAATATTAAAAATGTATTACGTGTAAAAAACAGTTGGTCAAATACCTACCACACAAAAAAATACCTAATATAAAAAATACATTCGATTACTTACCATTTTTATTGGGCCCGTGCTATGTACGAGCCTGATCTCATTTATCACAAAAAAGCAGGTTCAATTTGGTTAGTTTGAAGTTAGTTATGAAACGGCAAAGTTGGTTTGAACATATTGATTTTTGAGCTGTTTGTTTTTAAATCGAGCAAAAACGCTGACGTTTAATTATTCCTTTAGGTTTTTGTGTGTGTGTATCCATTTGTGTTTTGGCAAAGAACTGACTACTTAGTGCGTATAGTGGAATAAAATCACTGCTCTAACTCGCTGTTTTCTGAGGGTGGGTGATTCCGAGGTATAACCAGATGAAAATATCATCTTGTAGAGGACACTTTGGGGCATAGGAAATGGGAATGTACAACTTTTTTTAATAGGACTGAACTTTGAAATCGGCCCTTAAACGTGACTGAGCTCGAATTTGAAAAACTATGTTTTTCTAAACATTACCCGCTGTATTAATTTGAGCATACAATCTAAAATTCTGATTTTTTGCACACTTATACTTGAAACATGAGCGCTTCTAATGACAGTTCAGAAATTTCGAAAAAGTTCAAGGTTTTTTTGTTAAAAAGTTAGGAATATAGGATTATCAAAATCGTGCATCTAAAACTTCACCTTGCGGCGAGCAATGTGTATTATTGAAAATTTCTATACATATATATCGAATCAAATGTAATAAAAACATTGACGAAGTTTTTAAAAAAAAAAATTAAGGCGCTAGCTTCGACGGTTATAGAAATATAATTTTTTATCCAAGAGCCCTGGAGCGCGCTCAGCCCATCTTGAATCGCGTCGCGACGAAATTGTTCGTGCATTCACCGAGAGGTGCATTTTTTGACTTTTCCAGTTTTGTGGGTTCGTTTGCGAAAAACAGCTAAGTCTGATTTAGTATCAAAGTTTGAACCATATTCAACAGTTGCTTCACCTCGAACTGATGTTAAAGTAGGTGTGACCAAAAAAAGCAACTTAAGCTACTTAAATCAAGAAAAAAAATCTAAGATCTCCCGTGGAAACCGCAGTCTTTCATTCAACATACTATCCGAGAAAATTCTTCATGAAAATAAATTTTGCGGGAACTTGTGACGTCACACCGGCTAACCGCCGAAATCATAGCCTTCTGTTTGTTCAGTGGTTGAACCGTGCCCTATACTTTAAGTGGTTGCAATTTGCTTTAAGTGCGAGATCGTTGACTTTTGTCTTGGAAAATTTTACACATATTTTAACTGTGCCTCCGAAGCCAGTGTGAGGTCACAGCCTAGGCGTTTGTCACTTTGAACCACCCTTATACTCGAAAACGATTCATCGTAGCAAGATGCGGTTCAAATATTTTTTCGCACTGAAACTTCTCTTCACGTCTCACCCCCCCTTCAATTCACTTATAATAGATCGCATGGTACTTATTCAAGGACTAAATTATAAAGCATTTTCAACATAACTTTTAATGAACTTGCATGTATTTTTCTGAAGCAAATTCTTTCACTTGGTCGAAGGTATGAAGCACTGAGGATAACGGTGGTTTTTAATAGATGATTCGGTCAAGTCTTTGGACACACGCAGAAGAAGTAACTTCGCAGATACGTATGCGTATGAAGTTTCTGGAAAGAGAAAAGCGATGAAGTTTCGGAATTTTTTTAAATTGTCATAAAATGAAGAATCCCTATTGAAATTTGTAACTGGTTATATTTTGGAACATTTAGCTGACAAATAGAAGAAACTCTGATCATCGCTGGTGATTTTGAAAATCCAGAGTAATGCTTTTCTGTGAACAAGAATGGTGTAACCGTGTAACCGAATTGAAAAATTTGAAATCGAATCATGATGATACTGATGCACGACTTATTATATTCCACGTCTTATATGAATATCAGATACTTCACCAAAAAAAAGTGTTGGTGAAGTCTGCAGATGCAAATGTTCTGATATTACTTATTTACCACTATTCTGAATTTATTGAAGTAAGTTCTTTGAAAGAAACCTACCTTTTTATGGAATTAGGACAAGGGAATAAAAAACGGATCATTCCAATAAATAGTGCAGAAACTGGAATATGAAGTTAATAAATGTTTACCAGCGCTGCATGTGTCAACAGGATGCGATACCACAAATGCAAAGGCAAAAAATGTATTTTCTAAAAATCTTGGAACCTTATATTGCCACCAAATTTACATTGGCCCTATTCAGAAATAAGAACGAGGCCCTAAAAACCCTCGATGAATTGAGATATCAATTGATCACAACTTCCAATAAATCCGCTTCTGAACTTCTACCCACAGATGACGCATTTTACCAGCATGTACTGAGCTAGGTGTATATATAACAAAAGAACCTGTATTTATGCGATAAACAAAATTTCAGGTGCATATATCAACTGCGTATATGGATATCCAGTCATATACCTATTATGCCTATACTTGACCCTGTTAACTTTGTTTAGACTAGGAATAATGGAATTTTTGAGCCTGTTTTGATGACTGCTGATCCCATACCAATGGATATAAGGCAACTAATGAATGTCTTCTGCGAAGATAAATTATGTTAAAATAATAAATGTGTCTGCTTGAAAGAGGGTTCAATATGCTGCAGCGATTGTTCCTGCAAAATTTGTCAAAATAATATTCCTGATTTATATGAGGATGACGAAGGAGAAAATATTTAAACTAACTTCATAAAAAAGGATTTAATCAATTACTTATGTTTATAGATTTTTTTATTTTATTTCTAGATGTAACGCTAACGCACTGACGCAGATGATTTCCTGAATGGTAGCCGCTAGCCGCTTTCAGCATCAGAGCGCAATTAAAGCTCCCGGATAAAAATTCATATTTCTATAACCGTTAAAGTTAGCGACTTAATTTTTTTTAAAAACTTCGACAATGTTTTTACTACATTTGATTCGATATACAGTGTCATTACTTAAGTGTGCAACATATGGGATTTTTTTTTAGTAATAGCACAATCAAAATACAAACAAGGCCAAAAGTTGGTGCATGCCTGATAATCATATTAGGTGCAGTTAGAATGGTTGCAAGTCAAACAGCATACAGGGTGGATCAAAAAATATCAAAATTCTACTAATATTTACTTGAATAAAATAAAACTTTTGCACTTTAAGGAGAGTTTTTTTAATATGGCTATTATCATTAGTAATGTTTTAACTTGTTGAAAAAAAAATTGCGACATTTTAAAGTTGTGTTGAATTTCATTGCAACAAATATGAATTTTGTGATTCCATAAAAAATTAAAAATCCAAGTTAATTTTACAAATATGCTTGAATTTGAACAAAGTTATGTAAAATTGATTTGGTTTTAATTAATTTTTGAAAGTATTAAGGGCGGAAATAAAAAATTAAAAAAATATAGAAATTATAGATTTTTTTCGAAAGAAAATAAAAAAAATCTTAGGAGGCTATGTTTTGGTATTTAGGCATAACTTTTAATTCCAAACAACTTTTCTCTATAACATTTTGCTGAATTTTCTAAAATAAGGGTACTTTACAGTACAGCTTTGATATTTGTTTGAGCTACCCTGTATGCTGTTTGAGTTGCAACCATTCTAAGTGCACCTAATATGATTATCAGACATGCACCAACTTTTGGCCATGTTTGTATTTGGGTTGTACTATTACTAAAAAAAATTCCCATATGTTGCACACTTAAAAAATCACACTGTATATGTATAGAAATTTCCAATAATTCACATGGCTCGCCGCAGGGTCAAGTTTTAGATGCACGATTTTGATAATTCTATATTCCTAACTTTTTAACCAAAAAACCTTAAACCTTTTCGAAATTTCTGAACTGTCATTAGAAGCGCTCATGTTTCAAGTATAAGTGTGCAAAAAATCAGAATTTTAGATTCTATGCTTAAATTAATACAGCGGGTAATGTTTAGAAAAACATAGTTTTTCAAATTCGAGCTCAGTCACGTTTAAGGGCTGATTTCAAAGTTCAGTCCTACTGAAAAAAGTTGTACATTTCCATGTCCTATGCCCTAGAGTGTCCTCTACAAGATGATATAGGTTTCATCTGGTTATACCTCGGAATCACTCAAAGTCATAATTTCATTGTGATTTTACTCCACTAGTATCAGATAGTCAGAACTTGCTCTTGGTTCTGAGTAGGAGCGAGTTGTGGCTCTAGTTTCGGGCATTTTATTGTCAAAACAGATTTTTAATGTCACAGATACTTTCGGCGAGCTATATTCTATAAAGAAATGTGTTTTTATAAGTTTTTTTTTTTCA